CCTTTATTGACTAATCAGAAGCCAGAGCCACACGTCAGGCGCCTTTCATCCGGGTCCCCCACGCTGGCCACGCCGCTAATTATATACTTCTCCTCATTCATGTCCTTCTCTGGTTGGCTGCCTTCCTTTCCCGCATGCCACTGGATCGCAGAGAGACACGCGATTGGCTGAGGCCAGGTGGTCCAACATGTCAGCGCCCTGATCCGACGCCACACCACAGCACTTCACGCCGCTCCAGACTTGCGGCATTTCGGTTGTCGGGTTGAATGTAAGTGGCCCTTTTTCTCGTTTTCTTTAGATAACTGTGCAAAAGCCTCTTTAATCCTTGAGTCTACTTCGTGTGGGTTTGGGATGCTTTATTTCGCTAATTTAACGCGACTAATCACGCTTATTGAATAGTTTCTTGGACTGGAGTCAGCTTGAATTGCTACCTTACTTGTGGTAGTCTGGCCTGTTGAATCCTTGTATTTTGGTTGACTCCACATTTTATGTACTCGAGGATATTTTTATAAATATTAAATTTGTTCTAATTGATAAAGGTCCATATTCCACTGGTTTTCGGAAATTGCTTTCCACAGACAAGCTGCATTAATTTAAAACTGAAATTCGAGTCATCTAAAAGTCGTGTTCGAAGTGTCCTGTGTGTGTTTTGGTGTACTCAAAACCCTTATGAATATTTTATTCGTTCAAAATTTTCTCAAATTAATCTTGTCAATTTTGCAAACATTTGCCCCAATTCAAAATCGACAATAACAAAACATCCAATCAAATTAAACGGATTAACCTTCATTTGGAATGACTGTGTACAGAAGAGATGTCCGTAAACTGCTAGTTTCATTTTTTTAAATCGAATTCGTGCCTGAACCGCTGACAAAACTTAGTTATTTGGGTTTATGTATTAGTGAACATTTTTACAATCTGATATGCCCCTAAATTCCTGTTATTTAACTGCAGGTAATGAGTTCTCAACGTGGAAATAGCCAGCGAAGCAGACCTCAGAAACACAAAAATGCAAAGGCGTTCAAAAATAATACGCACGATACTTCGAAAAAAACTGCTTTAATAAACCAATTAGAAATGCATGGGTTGTGCGCACGGTGCAAAGCTATCATTGAATGGAAAGTGAAGTATAAAAAGTACAAACCATTGTC